TTAGGCTAAGATTTAACCTGAGACACAGAGCATTCAGCAATTGAGAAAAATCAATATTAGCTCTGTCCCTTTCTTCTTCATCCTCCACAAGGCAGTCTGTCTAATGTCACTAGAAATAAGTTGCCATTTAAAGCACAGAAAAATCAGTGTCCTTGCCTGCAGTTAGGATTTCCCCCAATTGCAAGCAGCCCTTGCTCTGGGCATTGCTCACTGTCCATGTGAGCTGGTCCTCTAAGGGAGCCGAGATGACACTGAAGACAGGAGAGAGGAAGAGCATGTGAATAAGGGTTAGCCCACCATGAAAATGATAGCAGGGGGGCTCACAAAGAGCAAGTGTAAGAGTCAGGGCTCTATCAGAGAGCAGGCAACTACCCAGACAGCTGGGGGACAGGAAGAGGGCCCATGAAAGACAGGACAGATGAGGCTCTGGGACTGAAACCCAGCTATCTGGGGTCCCGAGGATGTGGGTTTCCCTTGGGCTGTCATCCTTTGAGTTAGGGTAGCATCTCTGCTTTGAAAGAGCGAAGTGAGAGGCTGCTTATGCTGTTGTCCCATCAGGTGATCTGGGAGGAATGGGGCAGAGCGCAGGAGAGACCAGAATTGAGAGCAGGGGAAGGGAAGGAAGACCCCCAGAAGGGTGAGCAGTGGACAGCTTAATGCCAGGGTGGGGAAGTGCTGTATTTGGGATTCTGATACCTGGCAAGGGTGGGCTGTTGGCGACATGGCCAGAGAGCCAAGCCATGCAGGGGATGGAAGCCAATTACAGGGGATGGAAGCTGCAAGTGGGTCTAGAGCCAGACTGTGTTGGTCCCTGTTACACCTCCACAGAGGCAGATGTTTTCTTAATCCCATCTGCTTTCATACTTGGTTGTATCTTGCTGCAGCAGGGAGCTTCCCATGCTGGACCAATACCAGCCAGGCAGGCAAGACTAAGACCTGGTTTGAGGGAAATGTGGCTTCAGTCTAACCAACAGTGTGGTTTTAACTTATTTAACTAAAGGCACTGATTTAATTTTATCATGCTGTATCAAATTTGAGCTAAACTGAAATAAGCCCCTTGGAAACTAGACTAAGGGTGGCCGCGCAAGGGGCCGCACCAGTTTCTCTAAAACAAGTTTAAGAGCAGATTTAGGTTGCACTGATGGGACTTGCTGTGGAGGCAAGACTACAGGCATGGATAAAGGAGGAGCACAGAGGTCCCTCAGATCAACTCAGGTGCCAGGCACTTACATGTACTCAAGTACAGTCTCAGTCGCCAGAGGCTTTAGCTGATAGCTCTGCTCTGGGTTGAGCTGAATCTAACAAGCTAAGCTAGTGACAGCATTAGGGAGCAAACTGCAGAAACAGCGCTTCTGCTGCTGTCATTTTGGGCTGTGGATGCTTTGGAGGAAAGCCGTTACAAACAGGAGGAGCATTTTCTCTTTGCCCAAAGTGATGTTTCTCTCACTAGGGTCAGTCTCAGGGCTGAGACCTCCTTGGGAGCTTGGCATTGGCAAATACTTTATGAAAGACCTAAGAAATCATATATAGGAAGTGTTAAAGACTAAGCTTAGTGACAGAAAGATCCAGTTGAGTGCCAGGAAGGATCCCTGAGCAGCGATATCTGGTAAAGTGCAGAGGACAGTCTCAGGTAAGTGAGGAAAGTCATTTCAGATTGGCCTTGATAATGTATTAGACAAGCAGCTCTGTCAGCTAACAACCCTCCGTTGAGCAAGCAGATGGGAGGACCTAACCCATTCCAACCACCTTTGCCATCTGCTACTCAACTTCCACACCCCCCAGTACACTCCACAGAGCTTCAATACTTTACTGGCTCTGAATTTAAATTAAATATAAGCAAATCTGGAACACTGGCTAAGTCCTTACCCATCAGTCCTTTGAAACACAGCATTTCCTCCCACAGCTCCTGGTTACTGATAGTAATCTGTGTCGAAATTTTTTTATAAAAGTGTATTAAGAGCATTAGTCAGAAAACCATACACATTCACTATGTTTATTGTATTACAAAACTGCTGCACTTCAAAGAACGATAGGGAATGCTGACACAGGACACTTGCAAGAGCGGTTTGATACGGGGCTTGTTTTTAGCAGGACTTTTAAAAGAATACCATGTAGTGAGAAAAGAAATCTCTGCCACAGCTAGGATAAGGCCTAACCGCTCCATGGTAGGGGCACAATCTGGGGTCAGTGTGGTCACTCAGAGCTGGCATTTCTCTACGCACCAACCCAAGTTGTCCTCTCTGCCTGTGGCACCAAAATCCACTTCCTTTCCCCCTCTACCAGCAAACTCCTACTGTGTTCTCCATCCATCATCCCACAGTTAACAGTGGGATCATCCTACAGTTAACATCATCTCACTTTAACAGTGAGAGGAGAGAGAGGTGCAACATGAGGTTGATTGTGTAGTGCAGCTGCAAGGGGGAGACCATGCACCAGAAGCTGTTGGGGAGCTGTTGGATGAGTCACCTACAGTTTGCCAGCCTAACTAATACATAACAATAACAATTAATAACAACAATAATAATTATTGGCCAAGCAGGAGTTCTGCGGAAAAGGACCTGGGGATTACAGTGGATAATAAGCTATGAATAGGAGCCAAAAGCATGCCCTGCAGATCGAGTCTGCATGCCAGATCGAGAGAAGTGATTCTTCCCTTCTATTTGGCACTGGTGAGACCACTTCTGGAGCACTGTGTCCAGTTTTGGGCCCCCCACTACAGAAAGGATGTGAACAAATTGGAGAGAGTCCAGCAGAGAGCAACAAAAATGGCTAGAGGACTATGGAATAATAATAATTCTATTGCCAGCATGTATAACCCTTAAGTCAAAGACCTACAAATCTCAAGACATTCCTATGGCAACTCTCACATGAAATCTGTGTGATTTCTGGTCCCAAAACGTCCAACTCCTGCTCTAAATACAAATATTAGTGCAACCTCAAGTAGGAACTGCTAACCACAAATCTCCATACACTGACTGGAGTGGCCATGTATGGCTTCAAAACTCTCTCAGTCCTTGTTTCAATGATCCCATTCTCCAGGGGAGCTTTCCTTTTTTTCCGTCTTGAAAGTGTTCTTGTTAGAGACTTTGTGCGCTGACAGAATAAAGCAGGAGACTCCCTCCCACCCTACAAAATGCTATTTATTGTGCCTACATGCAGGAAAACCTACCACCTTGCTTGGGTGCAGGGATCTATAGGTATAGACAGGCAGGGGAGGATCTGGAGGCAGTTGCAGTGATGCAGTCACACCCCCTTTTGATTCCTGCTTCACCTAAAGTTTAAAACCAAGTACCAGGCAGCAGCAGCAGTAAGGGAGCCCTGGACTCATTGCCATCTACTGATGCCTTCTAAACTCTTCATTCCACAAGTGTGAACGATGTTCCTTCATTTGTAATGATCTTGATGTTCCATGAATCGAGCTATCCGTTCTCCTGTAATTCTGCTGTCTGATAGCTGCTCCTGATAATGTAGCTCCTGTTTCACAGCCCTGCAGACTGTTTTTTAACTCTAGCTAAAAACATTAAACTTGGGTATGAAAATGTTAACTCAGGTGGATATCAACTCAGGGGTGGAAATAACTTCCATTGAAACATCAGATGCCCTGTCAAGATGCTCAGAAAGGCTAGATTTTGGTTTATGAATCTGAAAGAGATGCACATTTAATTCTAATGACTACAGAACTATGGAAACAACAGCTTTTGATTTTTTTACCTAATTTGTTGTGTTTTTTATATCTAATTAATGATATAGCAAATTAATGCACATGCCAATAAAGTTAATTTGTTTCTGCTTCAGTCTTAAATTGAAAAATATAGCTGGGTTCCTAGCTTATTAGTAAAGTTTCTAGTTTCTTTTTGATGGGAGAAAAATATGTGTTGGTCTATATGTGATGAGGCAGCACATCACATGTACCTGCTTTTTCAAAATCCTAGATCTGTCCATGTAGACAGGCATAACAATAGTATTGGAATCAACAATTTAAGCTGTTAGAATCATAGAAAATTAAAGTTGGAAGGGACCACACGAGATCACATCTAGTCCAATCCCCTGCTCAAAGCAGGACCAGCCCCAACTAGATCATCCCAGCCAGGGCTCTGTCTAGCTGGGTCTTAAAAAGGATGGGGAGTTCATCACCTCTCTGGATAGCTTGTTCCAGTGCTTCACTACACTCTTTGTGAGCAAGTTTTTTCTCATATGCAACCTCAACTTCCTTTGCTGCAACTTGAGACTGTTGCTCCTTGTTCTGTTATATCTGCATCCTTCTGTGGCAATGCAAGTGCAGCAAAATCACTGCAGCTTTTCCTCTGTTCCATCCACAATTAAAGTTAGAGAGAGGTTTAGCTCACTTGTATTGCCACAGGATCACTGGGACATAACCTTTAGATGGTAACAGCTGAGGTGCACTCCCAGGTAGCAGCTCCTCTTCATCTGTTAAAGTGGTTAAAAGGTACATTTGTTAATAGCCTATGACCACAAAGCCTGACAGCTAAATGTGCTGCTGGGTCTTTGGTGTTTCTGGGGACACTAGAGGGCACCCTGCACTTCAGTTTTTATCTCTCTCTAGCAGAAAGTGCAGCCACCTGCTACTTCAGAGATCCTCTTGAAACACGGAATTATAGAGATTCAATCCCACTTCCACAGTTAAGGCTGATTTTTATTTTGCCCTTAGAGCAGGGAGTCAACACAAAACTGTGTATTCTAGCTAAACTTGCAGTGCTCCTTTACTTACTCTTTGTGAGCAGCATTTATTTTGAGAATTTACCAGAAAATGTGTTAATTGGTTTGATTCACAGCAGGTCAAACAGTTAGTAGCTTGCATTTTCTTTGTCTAGAATGATGCAGGCACTTCCTTTTTATGTAGACATAATTCATTTAAATTTCATTTCTCGGCTAGATTGTAAGAAAATGAGCTGTTGTTAATTGTTGTTGCAATAATCATCACAACTCAATAATCAGAAGATTTTACAAGGTCAAAAGGGAAGCATTACAAAATTTAGGAAATTCCACAATTAAGTTCATCATGGCAATCTTAGATCATTGACAGGTAAACAAATTATACAAAGTTAAAAAGGTAGAGGAGACTTATCATGTATCAAGCTTTCTGAAGTGCAGATGGCAGAACTGGATGTGGGATTCCAGCAAGTCTCACTGATGCCTTAGACAGAGGTGAAACCTGATCCTTACACCTACTTAATATCCCTTGAATGATGACCACAGGAATGATAGACATTTCTCCATTTTCTTAGCACAGCCTAACTGGAGATCAATGTCCTCAGTGGACTGAACCTACCTACTCGCCCTCAAGATTACCTACTTCTTGGGCTCTTCACCCAGGAAGACTCTCTAGGAAGAGAATGGGTACAGCTCTAGTGACTCCTTGGCAGGAACCTAAGGGCACCTCTGCAGCTGCCCCCAGGGGAGACTGGCCAACAGTGAGGACCCTGAATTATAGCTTTGCTGACGGCAGCTGGAGAAATCAAGGGCCAAATCTTCTCCGTGTACTTACAGTCAAGATTAAAATTGCCTTTACAAACACATTTGCAGTGCATACCACTCATACTGACCTGCAGCAATATCTCCTTCTTCTTACTGCCCATTCTTCTGCAAGAAGAAGAAACGTCAATTGAATAGCAGGGCCAAGTCACCAAGGTCTGTTGCTGAAAGATGCCTCCTTTCAGTGAAAGCAACAATCCAGCACAAAGGAGGGAATCCCTTTCCCACCAGTTAAATTCAGCTGCTGCAGAAAGAGGCTTTTACAGGAACACACTTGGCCAGCAGGGATTCATGTTGCTTATCTGTACATCGTCCCTCTGCTGGGGGCAATGCGGACAGCTCAGAAAGCATCTCTGCTCAGCCCCTTTCAGCCGGAAGGACAGTGTAACACACATGCAAGCACTGGGTCCTGAGGTGCAACCTGTCTCCATGAGCATCAGACATATGCTGGCCATGTCTACATGAGCAGTGGACTGCACAGTAGTTACTGCAAAGTCATTTAGTACTGGCATAACCAAGTACTAGATGACTGCGCAGTAACCGGCATCAGCTGAAGACACTCGAATTGAGCAGAGCGTGAGCTAGAAAAGCCTGAACTCAGGGAGTAAGCTCTAGATGCTGGGACCTGGCAGGCAGGTAGCTGCAGATGGCAAGGAATGAGTTGCAGGTGTCTGGACATGGCAAAGAAACATGTAAAAAAAAAAAAAAAGGCATCTCGACAGAGACAGAGAAAGATGAGAGGTGATATGGGATGGGGCATTTCAGCTATAAATGCAAGCCTTGCCCTGCCGTAGTGACTTAGGGGGCATCTGTGCACAACCAGGGCAGCCAGGACCATCTTGCTGAGCAGGGCTGACAGCTGCACAGACCTGCTAGCTCCTGTCCTGAGAAACAAATCGACCTCTCTGAGCTTTCGCCCCCAGACAAACTCAAGTCATTTGTTCTGTGCCGCTCCGAAGCTCCAGGAGGCCATGAGGACCCCCAACCCACACTGGCCAAACCCCGAGAGCAACAGCAGGCTGGCTGGGAGCCTCCTCAACCCCCAAGTGCCTCCAAACAGAGGCCAGTGCAGACGGGGTCTCTCACAGGGTTGCCTGGGACTGCTGTTGCCCCAGAGGTGGGAATCCAGGATGGAGAGGTGCCTGCCACCATGACACAGGGAAAAGGATTATCCCCACAAGCCAGCAGGTGCCAGGGGGGGCAGAAGGGCCTGGCAGGGAGACAGGCAACCCTGCCATGAGCAGGGGCGGCTGAGCTCCCTTCCAGCCTGACTCTCCCAGGCGGCAAGACCAGGGAGCAACAGGGAGGCACCTCCTGCCCAGCAGGAGCAGGGAGGGGGACAGCCCCCACTTTGTGCCTCTCTCGGGGCCCTTCTCTGGCTCCCACCATGCATGGTGGGGGAGAAGCAGAGGCAGCTCCCCCTGCCTGAGGGGGCACCCCCCCAACCCCAGGTACCTGCATGGCGGTTGCAGGCAGCGCGTCCCTAGCAACCTAGCAGGTTGGGCTGGCTGCCTCAGCGGCAGGGAGGGGCATGTCTGGGCTGTGGGCCAGGCTGCGGGCAGGGAGGGGCCATGTCTGGGCAGGCTGCAGGCAGCAGGGAGCCACTCTCGCCTGCTGGGGGAGGCACCGGGAGCCCAGCATGGCATGTCCCAGGGGCTGGGGTGATGCCAAGGGAGTTGGGGGGGGGGGCCTCATTGACTTAAACATGCCACAGTGGGAGGTCTGCAGGGCCAGCTAGAAGCATGAAAAGGTGTTTGGGCCTGAAAGCTTGCAAAGAACAATTTTCTCAGCTACTTAGTTGATCTAATAAAAGATATCACATCTACCCAAAGAAGCTGGGTCTGACCAGGGTTTTCCCCCCCCCACTGTTCCTCTCCCACTTGCAGCACAAAGAAACTAAGCTTTACTAACATGCAAGGGGCCTAGGACTGCATTAGTTGGGTCAAAATTGAAGCAAAAAAACCCAAATATAACTTCATGAGAACACACATTTGTTTGCTATAGGGTACATCAGGTACTCGCAAACATAGTATGCCAGGCAAAAATGACCAAAAGATGTTGCTTCTTTTAGTCCTGTTGTCATTAAAATTCAATACTTCTCTCTCAGAGTCAGCAAGCAAGATCGAGCCTGCTAGAGCACAGCGGCAGTGCATCCAATGCTGAAGAACAGAACTGCCACCAACTAGGATAGACCCTAGGTCCATTTCCCTTTGACCATCATTCCTCTCCCTGTTTTTCCTTTTTTTTGGCTCAAGAAATAAACTGTTAATTTCTCAGGGCCCTACCTTTCTAAGGAAGAATTACAGATCTTCTTGGTGGGCAAACAACCCACAATCCCCTTGAAAGTAACAAATAGACATGTGTCACACAGCAGCAAAGAGCAGATGCTGAAAGGGACAGTGAACTGAGTCTGAACAGGGATTTTTCCCATTGTTCCTCTCCCACTTTGCAGCCTCCAGCATTTAAGCCCTATGAAGTTTTGGGTCAGAGGCTGTGCCCCTCACTCCTGTGCTCTTTCAGAGTCACAAAACAAAGTCAAGACTTCTTGAGCATCTTGATAGTGCATCCAGTGCTCAAGAACACCATGGCAAAGAGCAGATGCCAAAAGGGAGAGTGAACTGGGTCTGACCATGATTTTTCCCACTGTTCCTCTGTCACTTGCAGTCTCCAGCATTTAAGATCTAGGAAGTTCTGACTTATGCTTCACTGAAAGTTCTTTCCATGCCTAAGAGACTGTTTTAAGCTAAAGTTAAAAACACTCAGCAGGGCTGTGAAGTAGGAGCTACATTCCCAGGAGCCACTAAGAAACAGCAGAATTGCAGGAGAAAGAGTGGCTTGATATAGATTCATAGATATAGGGTCGGAAGGGACCAAGTAGATCTCCTAGCCCGACCCCCCGCCAGGGTGGGAGAACAACAAAACCCCAACACAAGAAACGGGACTCAAATGAGTCCAGCCAGGTAGGCATCCAGCCTCTTCTTAAAGACCCCCAGGGTAGGGGCCAGCACCACTTCCCTTGGAAGTTGGTTCCAGCTCCTAGCCACCCTAACTGTGAAGTAGTTTATGGGGAACCTTAAGACCATTAAAAAAGGAAAAAGGATCTTTAACACCTGTGGAGAGATGAGTTTAGAAGGACCCTGGGGGTCTTTAAGAGGAGGCTAGACAATCACCTTGCTGGGGTCATTTCCTGCCATGGCAGGGGGTCGGACTTGATGATCTGCTCAGGTCCCTTCCAACCCTACTACTAACTATGAAACTATGACTCCTTCACTGCTGTCTGAATAAAAATGCTGCTGCCACTTTCAGGCAGTTGGTTTTAAACTTTGGGTGGACCAGGGATGAAAGGCAGGGGTGGAAGTGGGTCTGCCCCAGGGTCCTAGAAAAATAGAGGAGCCTGAGTGCTTGGTGCTGCTTTTACTTCAGTCTTACAAATCTGCTCAGCTCTGGGATGAGGAGCACAGGTGGCTGCCAGAATGGGGGAAGCAATAGTCTGCCCAGAGTGCAAGGAAAAATGGATCAGGAATGACTTAAGGAAGCTGGTTGCTTTCAAGGCAGCAGGGCCAGATAGGATGCAGCCCCAAATACTGACAGAATGGAATGAGATCATTTCAGACCCAAAGGCCAGTACCTCTGAGAACTTGTGGAGGGCAGGTGAGATCCTGGGTGACTGGAAAAAGGCAGAGTGCCCACCGTTAAGAGAGGGAAGGAGAAGGATCTAGGGAATTATGGACTGGGCAGTTTGACCTCGATACCTGGGAAGTTCATGGAGCAGTCATCAAGAAATCAGTTTTTAAGCAATTCAGGGATAACAAGTTGATCACAAACAGCCAACATGGTTTTAGCAAAAGCAAGTCATAAGTGACCCGGGTTCCTTCTAGGATAAAGGGGACAGGATCTGTCAATGGGGAAAGAGCAGTGGATGTGACATACTTTGACTTTACCAAAGCAGACGAGGTTTTTTGGGTGAATCTGGTATCTTTTACTAGACCAACTCAAATAGTTGGAAAATTCTTCTTAGCAAGCTTTTGGGTATAAATACCCTTCATCAGCCTGAGGAAGCATCTGCAGTTGGTGTGTGCATTTCGAGGAAGCATTTCCCAGGAAGCATCTGTAGCACACACCAACTGCAGATACTTCCTCAGCCTGACAAAAGGTATTTATACCCAAAAGCTTGCTAAGAAGAATTTTTCCAACTATTTGAGTTGGTTTAATAAAAGATATCAGATTCACCCAAAGAACCTTGTCTGCCTGTGTCCTTAGACCAAAATGGCTATAACCTACACCCCTTGACTTTACCAAGGCTTCTGACTTTGGATTCTCATGACATTGTTTTTCTTTAGCCTACTGACAGTCTAGGTGAAAATACTGTAAGAAGGACTGGATTGGATCATTATACTCACCATCTCAATGACATCTCAGTGTCTGGTTGGGAGGTGGTATCAAGCAGTGTTCACCAAGGGTCTGCCCTGGGTCCAGTGTTGTTTAATATCTTCACTAATTATTTGGAGAATGGAATTGAATGCATGCTTCGCATGTCTACAGAGGACAAAGTCAGGTGACGTTGCAGAAACTTGTGAGGATAGGATTAGAATTCAAACTGACCTTGATAAACTGTAAAATAGTATGAAATTAAGCAAATAAAATTCAACAAGGGCAAATGCAAAGTCCTGCACTTAGAACAGAAAAATCACATGCACAAATGCAGAGGGAGGAATGACTGATTAAGCTCCAGTACAGCAGAAATGGACTTGGGGCTTATAGAAGATGAGCCAAGTGTGAAGATAAGGCAAGGGTGCTTTTATTGCAAAGAGTCAGAATCATACTGAGCTGCATTAACAGAAGCATCATGTGCAAATCAAGAAAAGTGATTCTTCCATTTTATTCAGCTTTAGTAAGGCTTCACCTGGAGTACTAGGTCCAGTTTTGGGCACTGCACCTCAAGACAGACATGGACAAGTTAGAAAGAGTCCAGTGGAGATCCACAAAAAGGAAACAAGAGTTACAAGAAAAAGTTGAAAGGACTGAGATTATTTAGTTGGAAAAGACTGTGGGAGGATTAGATAAGTTTTTAAATACCTAAAGGGTAACTAAAGAGGATGATGACAAAATGTTCTCTGTGGCTGCAGTGAACAAGACTTAAATGGCAACAAGGAAAATTTGAGTTGGACATTAGGAAGAACTTTTCCATAGAAAGGGTGATTAAACATAGAATCATAGAAAATGGGGGTTGAAAGGGACCTCAAGAGCTCATCTAGTTTAAGCCCCTGCCCAAACCAGGACCAGCCCCAACCAGATCATCCCAGCCAAAGCTTTGTGTAGCCAGGTCTTGAAAACCTCCAAGGATGGAGACTTCTCAACCTCTCTGGGTAACTGTTCTAGTGCTTTACTACCCTTTGGGTGAGAAAGTTTTTCCTAATATCTAATCTAAACTTCCCTTGCTGCAACTTGAGCCCATTGCTCTTTGTTCTGTCATCTGCCACCACTGAGAACAGTCCAGCTCCATCTTCTTTGATACCACCCTTCAGGTAGTTGAAGGCTGCTATTAAATCCCCCCCTCAGCCTTCTCTTCTGCAGACTAAATAAGCCCAGTTCCCTCAGCCTCTCCTCAAGTCATATTCCCTAGCCATCTAGCCATTTTTCTTGGTTTCCACTAGACTCTTTCCAATTTGTCCATATCCTTTCCGTCAGAGTGGGCCCAAAACTAGACACCATATTTCAGATGTGGTTTCACCAGTATGGAATAGAATGAAATAATTGCTTCCCTTGATCTGCTGGCAACACTCCTACTAATGCAGCCCAGTATGTTGTTGGCCTTTTTGGCAACAATGGCATAATGTTGGATCATATTCAGCTTATTGTCCACTGTAACCCCCAGGTCCTTTCCTGCGGAGCTACTGCTTAGCGAGACAGTTCCCAGCCTGTACTGATGCATGGAACTATTCCATCCTAAGCGCAGGACTGCATTTGTCCTTATTGAACTTCAGGACACTAAAACTTTTAAGCACTGGAACAGGCAACCTAGAGAGGTGGAGTAATCCTTGGCCTTGGAAGTTTTTAAGATCAGGTTAGACAAACAGTTGTCTAGGATAGTTTAGACAATGATTCTGCCTTCAGCAGGAGGCTGGACTAGATGACCTTCTTAGGTCTTTTCCAACCCTATTTTCTATGAGGGTGACAGACTTTTTGGAGATCAAATCTAGGACCCAGATCCAGGTGTTCTGCAAACTCTCAGTCAAAAGCCATCTAACACCCCTTTCGGTTCCCATTAGTAGAATGTAAGAACTGCCGTTTGCTGGGTCAGACCACAGCTCAGGGGCAGGCACTTATTTTGGGTGGAGGGCTGCTTACCCAGTTTTGGCAAGCTGTTGAGGGCCACATGGGTAGCCCCGCCCCCTGGTCACCATCTTGGGACCAATGTCACAATGTCTTGGGACCAATGTCCCAGGGCCAGCACCAGTGGAGCCCAGAGCAGGGAGCAGGCTGGCAGGGGTCTGTGGAGCCAGGCTGGGCTGCACCAGCAGAGAGAGGGGGG